GTGCCATTCCCAATTAGCTTCATTCGAATTTCTGGCCATTAAGCACACTGAATCTTTGCTAGTGCTCCAATCCACAATATACATGTTCTTTCGCCGTTTTCCAGATAAAACAATCTCATTTGTGAGCTCATTTTTGATTAGGCAATTATCTTTAGAAAATTCTACAAGATAGCCTTTATCACAAAATTGACTAGTGCTCAACAAATTAAATTTTAATCCTTCAACGAAAGAAACATCTTCAATCTTCAAACCATTTTTCTTGATCGTGCCAACTCCTTTTGTAACTCCATAATTTTGATTTCCACCGAATATAACTTTTGGTCCATCGATTTCTTTGAAATTCACTAGATATGATTTATTTCTAGTCATGTGGCGTGAGCAACCACTATCGATGTACCAAACATCCTGCAAAAAAGATTAATTAACTTTAGGTACCCATTCTTGCTTGGGTCCTTTATTGTTAGTGATTTTTGGTAACCAAACCCACCTTGATCTTATTGAATTAAGATGAGGCGATTTGTAACCATTAGAGACACGATAATCATAACTCACATTAGAAAATATTTTTGGCGCCGGGTTTTGAAAATTATTTTTATATTTTGGCACCTGGGAAGAGAATGGTTGCTTTGGTCTATAAAAAGCATTACATCTATTACACAACCAATCTTTTTGAGTGGGATGAAATCTCCCAACTTTATTTCTAGAAAAGCTTCCCTCTTTTCTATGAAATCTTTTTGCACTTGACTCTTTGGCATATCTTTGCTTGTAGAATTTTTGTTGCTTTGCCGTAGTATAAACTTGTTTCGGCCTTTCAACATTCAACTTTGCGTTTGATTGATAGCCAAGTCCTTGTCTCATCGTGCTATTCTGACTTTTAACAAATTTTACCACTTGAACTTTATTATTTAAAGTAGTAGTAGAATTAGTCAGATTTTGAGGGGTTTGAGAACATGTGGAGTCATAACCAATTCCGGTTCTATCTCCTGATGGCTTTTGCATGCTCACCATTTTATCTATAATTTTAGACGAATTAGTGAACGTAGCAATAGTAGCTCTAAGATTATGTTCTCTAACCTCTCTAGCTTTACACTCTTCTTGAAGATGAATATTTTCATTCTTCAATTTACTCACTTCAAGTAAAGCATCTTGCAATTTTTTATTCATTTCTTCTTTTTCAAGAATTAGAATATTATTGCGCTCCTTGAGTTGAGGATGAGTGAGCATAATCTCTTGACATTCTCGCATTAGATTGTCAATAGATTTACGAGAAAAAGAGGAATTAACAGAATTGAAAGAATTAGAACTTACCTCTTCTTCCTCTGCGTCAAGAGCCATAAGACAATCTTCACTTGTACTCAACTCCATTAGCTTGCATATTAGCGCCGTATCATCGTCCGAATATGAGCTTTCATCGCTTGATGATGAATCCTCCGAATCATCATTTTCGTTTGGTTCGTTGCCAACGAGAGCTTTTCTTTTGTCGTGCTTGAACCTTTTGCTTTCGGATTTGTTCGGCGTAGACTCAACATTTTTGCCTTGATACTTGCTAACGATCGGATACGGACAATTTATTTTAAAATGTCCGGGTTTGCGGCAATTGTAGCACAAATCCTTATTTTCTTCGACTTTTTCTTCTTGTGTTATGCGAGAGATGAATTTTCCACGAGCAGAATTTTTGTTGTCTCCTTTTCGCATAAACCTTCTAAACTTTTTGACAAAAAGAGCAAATTGTTCGTCAGTCATAAAATCAACATTATTTTCTACTGACCTGGAGGTTGACGGTTGTTCGGCCATTAGAGCAGAATTTCGAGCTTCATGAACATCATCATCTTTGGCCTTCATTTCGAACTCATATGCTTTTAGATCACTAAATAATTTGTCTGTTGACAACATTCTTAGATCTCGGTGATCGCGCATAGCCGTAACCTTCATATCCCATGCAGATGGTAAGCCTCGTAGGATTTTGAGATTAATTTCTTTTTGGCTAATATTTTTGCCAAGATCACTAATCTCTCCAAGAACTTTGATCATTCGAGCTTCCATGTCTGCAACACTTTCATTTGAGAGCATTTTGAAATCTTCGAACTTCTTCATGGCGATTGTGAGCTTATTGTCTTTTTCTTGTTCATCTCCTTCGCCAATCTTGATGAGAGTTTCCCATATTTCTTTGGCAGTGGCACACTTTCGGATCTTCGGAAATATTGTATCATCAACGGCTTTGAATAGAATATCCTTGGCAATATTGTCAAGATTATTCCGCGTTCTATCGTCCGATGTCCATTCCGGTTTTGGCTTTTGTACGTACTGTGGAGCATCCGGGGATATAACAAACGCCGTATTGACTTTTACTATTTCTATAGGGCCAGTGGAAATAACTTCCCACATTTCATCGTGTAAAGCTGATAAGTGTACCTGCATACGAACTTTCCAATCATCAAATTTATCAAGAGAGAATAATAGATTTTGAGCTAAATCTTTCTTCATCATCATCACGTGAGATATGAAAGATTAATCCAATTCACACACTTTGTAGAATGGATCAGCCTAGCAGTCAAAAACAGTTAACCCAGTTGGGCAACGTGTTTAAATACCAAAGATTGGTATAAACTGACTCAAATAGGCTACAGGCTCTGATACCAATTGTTGGTATCAGTTTAAAAAGAGATTGACTCAGATAGGCAGCCTGCTCTGATACCAATTGTTGGTCCCAAAAGAGGTAAGGTGAAAGTCTAGAGGGGGGGGGGGGTGAATAGACTTTCAAACTTTTTCGCACAGCACAACAATTGCTAAGCCAGAGATAAACCAAAACTCATAACTAGATTGTTAAAGTATGGTGCACAGCGGAAATAATTAAACATAAAGTGTGTGTGAGATTGTGTGAGCAGTATATCTTCGTGAGAGCAAATATGTAAAGAGCGGTATGTAAAGAAAGCAGTAAAGAACACAAGACAATTATAGTGGTTCGCGAGGTGGTGTAATCCTCCTACTCCACTTGCTCTTTTCTCCAAGAGCCAATTCACTATATCTACCACTCCTTGGTTCCAAGATACAATGAATTCCGTGATCTAGTGCTTTGATCACAAAGCCCGCACTAATCACGCCCAGTGACACCACACTGCTGCTTCGGGTTTCACGTCGCCGCGCTACTATCCCAGGATTTCACGACTCCGTGTTACTTTCCCCCCCGTCTTCCACACTCCGGTAGAAACGTATCCCGTGATCTGGTGCTTTGATCACCAAGCCCACACCAATCACGCCCAGTGCCTCCGACACTGCTGCTTCGGATCTCACAGCTCCGTGTGACAATCCAGGATTTCACAGCTCCGTGCTACTTTCCTCCCTTCTCTTGTTTTGCTCCAAAACAAGTGTTGTCTTGCTTCCAACTTTTGAGACTCTGTAGTTGATCTTCAATGATGCGCAGGTCTCTTTGATGAAGATAAACACTCTGGAAAGATTTCTCCTGATAGCTCTGAGTGTTTTCTCTCTTTGAATATATCAAGTAAAGCACTTGATATTTTTGCTCTGCTTTGCTCTGTTTAAGAACTCTCTGAATATTTCTCTTTTGAAGCTCTCTGAGTTCTTTTTCTCACACTTGAAGATTTTAGCTCTTTTAAGCTTAATTGCTCTATTCGATCCTTTGATGGATTCGAATTTTCTGCTCTCTTATTTTTATTCACTGCTCTGTTGTTCGTGAGTTCCCCTTTTTTTTTTCAAGTCTTCACATCTTCATCATTTTATAGCTGGTAATGAGAATCTGTCCGTTGGATAGAGACGCTCTCATTTTTGAAATCTTGTATCTTTTGTCAGAGATCTTATCTTATCTTATCTTCTGCAAAAATGTCAGAAAGAGATAAGCTAGCCGTTTGAAAGATCTTCATCTCCATGTAAATGAGCTCCCAAACTTCATCTGATATTCCTCTGTTTTAACGTTGAATGGAAATATCTGGGTCTCAATTTTGGTGTAGAATGGCTTCTCTGATTAGCTCTGAAGTGGTCCTTGTCTCTGGGATTCAAAAATAATCTTTATTTTAATCCCATACTAGTTAGACTAGTATTTTCCTTGTGAGAATATTTTTCACTGTAAGTTTTGCTTCATCTTCTTCATTCTCACGCTTTGAACTTCCACCCAATTTCTCCTTTGTAATTGACACCCAATTTCAATTGGCTTGTAATTGGCACCCAATTTGAATTTCTCCATTGTAATTGGCTCCCAATTAACTTTGACTTGCAATTGGCTCCCAACATCTCCTGGTGCAACTTGAATTGATTCCCATGTGAAACTTGCTCCCAATTTCAATTTCTCTGAACTAGCTCCCAATTTCAATTTCTCTGAACTAGCTCCCAATTTCAATTAATCTCAATTTCTCTGAAACTGGCTCCCAATTTCAATTGCTTCGAACTAGCTCCCAATTTCAATTTCTATGAAATCGGCTCCCAAGTGCAATTGCATCTCAATTGCCACCCAAGTGAAATTGCTTCCCAATTTCCACTTGTAATCGGCGCCCAAAGCTTAAACTAGCGCCCAACTCCATCAGATTAATTTAATTTGACTTCTCAAATTTTACCTTGTAAAATTGTTGATGGTGAGTTTTGAACTTAAGCCATTTCGGATAATATATCAAGCATCATCCACTTCGTCCGTACAACTTTTGATTAAATCTCCAATCACATTTGATGTACTTCTTTCTTTCCATAGATGCTTGATCTCTAAGTCAATTTCATGCATTCTTCCAATATTAATTTTCTTCACGAAAAATCTTCTGGGATATCTTCTTTGAGTAGTAGCGACGTGAATTCATATCATTCAACTTCTTCTTCAATTTGTCATTTTCTCCAGACAAATTCTTGATTTTCGGCTTTATATCTTCTTCTTCTATTTTCATCCATTTTCCTCTGTTTTTCTCTTTTGATAAATAAATAATTTCCCGATCATGGTCTAAGACTCTACTAGACCTATGAAATAAAATTGGGGGATCTACAAATACAGATTTGGCATATCAAAACCATTACACTTTATTCCTAACATATAATATTCAATGTTATAATTTATATAATTGTATATCGATCCAAATATTCTTAAAATATTATAACAAATTCATTTCGTGCATCGCAAGGTGAAAAATACTAGTTGTAATAAAAGTAGTAGTAAAAAAGAGTATTGTTGTAGATATATAATTAATTATAATCCAGAATAAAAATTATGTCCTAACAACTTTCATATTAAAATAAATTAAGTCTTCTTAATGCGATTTCGATAAGTCAGTAAAACTTAATTTATTTTATTTAAAGTGACATGATTATAATAGACTTACTTATATTGTCGTAGAGTAATGAAAGAGTTATGCAATGAAATTATAGCATACAAATTTATAAGTTTTCCTTGTGTATATGATTAAGACCTCAATTGTTATTATATGTAAATTATTCGTCTTGTAAATTCTCATTGATATTTTAAAATATTAACCCTTTTCTTAAAGGATTGATTAGATAATGAAATTTTTATATTTAAATTTTTAAATTAGAGAGAAATTTTGTTTCATACATAGTAGATCAACTACTAATAAAATGTACATTTTAATAAAAGTAATATCGTTTTGAAATAGGAACCTAAAATTTGTACTACAACAAATAAGGTCACTAGATATTAAGTTTTTTTTTTTTAACAAGCACATAGAAGAAATATTATATACATACTATAGAGTGGATATAAATAAATATTATATAGTGTTTATGTGCATTAAAATTTAGATGTATCATATAGATCAAATATTATGAAAAATAGTATAAAATAAATGTTATTAAACATAATGTATTAGTTGATACCATTAATGACGTGATTTTAGACCAAGGTCTACGATGCAAAGTAGATTTTGGTATGATCTATGATATAATTTACGGCTGCAATTGGAATAAAAGGAAAATAAATAACTTTAAAACAATAAATATGAAAAGTGAAATTTCAGCGACAAAGGAAAAAAAGTAAACATAAAACAAAAAAATCAAATGGACTGGCTAGCTTGCCAGAGAGGTTAAGAGGGAAGACTTAAGATCTTCTGCACATAAGTGCGCGTGGGTTCGAACCCCATAATTAGCATTTTTAATTTTTAGAGATTCGGGAAAAATTAAGGTAAGAATTTTTATTTGTCGACTTTTTATTTTCAAAGGTTTAATTTTCGCCACGTCAAGGACATCAATCACATCACCGTGACAAGGTTGTGTCGCTTAGCACGGTAGATTTTGACACGTCCATCGACATAGCCGTGTCGAGGGCATGTTAATAGTTGAGAACTCTATTTAATTAAGTCGCGTTTTTAATCCTTTTGGGGGTTTTCCGATCGACCAAATATTTCAAGAAAATGATCCAAGACATTTTTGATAGTTTCAACCACTCTCTGGAAGACAACTTTATATTTTGGGAAGGCTTGGAGTCAAGATTTCTTCGTAGATTAAATGTGTTTTTCTATGTTCTGCAATTCGTTTATCGTTTATTTCATTTTTGCCTCAATGTTTAGAGGCTAAACATGTAGTTCTTGAATTTATGATCAACCGTAGTATGAGACCTTGTTCTTAATTGTTTTCTTACCATAATACAATTTTTTCGTTCTTTGATTCAATCGTGTTCTTTATCGTTCTTGAATTAATAATTACTGTCTTATTAAATTCATGATTGATTGATGTATAAATTTTGTGACAGAGATATCCTTTGTATGTGTAGATCCCACATGATTGAAAGGGGTGGATTGCAACCCTAAAGGTAGTATGACATCAATCATCTTTGTTCAAATCAAATTGTTCAGCCTTGAGGTTTTTAATTGAGAAGAGATTCTAATAAATCAACCTGTAGGTTAGTTGTTGATACTCTTGAAAAAAATATTAACACAAATTAGGAGGTCTCACGGTCTTTGGAATATACTATTCCTTATAGTCAGACATAGAAACAACTTCCTTAGCAATGCTACAAAGAACTTGAATCGCAGACTGTTTCACAAGTTTGAAGCTGAATTCGTTATATGAATTTAACGCTTCTTTAATATCATTAAAGAATTGATCAAACGTAGTCAAGACTAACTTTGGTTGGAAAGTCTTGCACACCACCTAAGTATATATTTTCCATATGTGGTTCATTGACAATATATCCATCAAGCTGAGATGGAGATGCTCTTTTACATTGTCATCTTTGTCATCCAGGATGAAGTTCACATACGTCATGACCAACTTATATGTTCACACTTATGAAGAAAAGAACTCTCCAAAAGAAACAAGAGGAAAACAAACTCACCAAAAGAAACGATAGGAAAACAAACTCGTCACAAAAATGAGAGAAAAACATAGAAAAAGCCAGAACACAAAAGAAAAGAGAAACAACAGTACACCTCTTGAACTTTATTTTATGGATCCACGGGAATCAAACCACTTCTTTATCCATATCTGGCGGAACCCTTAAGCTTTAGATCTTTAGAACTATCGCAACTTCTTAAAAGGTTGGTGGCTGAATCGGCACGGGACTTTATTATGAAACTAAAAAAGCAAAAAAAAAAAAAAAGAAAACAGGAGACTGCCGGCCAAGAAACAAAGCTCCATCAAAGGCTCAAAGCTTCGGCCAAAGGCCGGCGGCCACCAGATGAAGAAACACCCAAAAGAGAAGCAAGATTTCGTGACACAGAAAGATAGGTTTCGAGAGAATTAGTAATTATATTCTTAAAATAATTATAGTTTGACATTTATATATTCTTTTTCGATGAAGAGTCAAAAATAACTGGTTTAATTTTTTTTAATTGTTAAAACTTGAAAGAAATAAATCAAATTAAATAAATATTGTCGAAGGCCTTGTGGTCAAAGCGGCATAGCTGTGGCCTCTTAAATGAGAGCTCTCAGGTTCGAATTCTAGTGTGGGGGCACTGACCTCTTTGTACTTCAAAACAAAATGGCCGTTGTTAACGATGGTAACTTTAGAAATGTCTTATCATTGTACAATGAATAAATCAAAATGTATGTACAAGTTATCAATGCACATTTTTACACCAACATAATTTTTATTTGACTCATATATATATATATATATATATATATATATATATATATATATATTCGAATGGGACTCATATTTTATATATATAGCCCATTCGAATATATATAATATTGCAAATTTTTTAAATATATTTTTTTCATCGCAGTTATATGTTAGGTGTGTAGTTACGTTATTAATATTAAAATAGAATATAATAATTGTATATTACGTCGTAGTGTTCACCGCAATGTTCCTCATAAATCACATTATTGTCACTAGTATATTTTATAATTTTTATGCCACAAATCTTATGCATACAAAATAATTATCACCGAACATAAATTAGTAATTAAATTCAATTCATCATAGATATTACTAGTTTAATACAGATAAGCCGCCCCGTCACTCAAAAAAAAATATATCTAATAATACTTCTAAGACTAGTATAACTATAAAACTCTTAAGTAATTAATAAGAATAATACTTCTAATACTTACATTGACGGATTTTGACATTTCATCCACAAATTGGCCACCATTTTTTTACGACTATGAGTTGCATTGAAAATTTATAGTTGGGATGGTTCTCGTCGTAGTGATTTAGCCTAGCAATTGTTCAAACAGAGTATTATTAGCATACAAATTTTTGGTTAAAATATATCATACCATCTTAGACTTATGTTTTCCAGGATAAAACATGCTACGATTCAACGTTTGACCACCACAAACAAGCTTAGACTTGAATCAAACCTTTTCAATCTTATTTTGGGATTTGATTTGCACCCCTCACCCCCATGTGTGAGGGAGAACCTCTATGCTATACAATTCAATATGCCTTAAAAGAGCTCTTGTATAAATAGTGGGGCAAATCCACTTCCAAAACCAATGTGGGACAAAAGCTTCACTTTTTCCCTTCATTTTTCCAACTCAAATGGGTCTACTTTGAGAATCAATATCTCATTCACGCATTATCCGTTTTGAGCGTACAATATATCAATCTCTTCGTCTCACTACAAAGAACCCGGATCCACTTTGACCCTACTCAAATTAGAAGTGGACCTCACTGATAATTGTACCACAAAATAGCTACTTAAAATGTCATTTTATGCCAATTTATGCTTTTTTTTCAACAAGTATAATTGACATCCCTAGGTTCATGAAGTGATTGAACAGTATCTTCTATAGCTTCCTAATTAAACATGATCATCAAGTGATGTATTTGACAACAGTGCATCAGATTGTTGCCCATAAGGCATAAATGCAACATGTCGTGGTGCATTGGATTGTGTTTGCAATCCATCATCTTTTTTTTGAAAACCAACCGCAAAGAAACTTCATTCAAACAATCAAATGAGCAATGATCTCAGGTGGATATACATCCCAAACCCGAGCAACAGTTGAGTTAACTGCATCAGCTGCAAGAATATGAGCAATTCGGTTCGCAGACTGACAAATAAATTAAAGCAAATACGAGAAGAGCCTAAAGCATTAAGTAAAGCATAACATGAATCATAAATAAAATCATAATACGAATTGAAAGAAATGCGTTGTGAAATATTCGTGCAAAGAACTTGGCAATCAGATTGGAAGAGCACGTTCATAAGATCCTTGTTCTTGACCCAAGAAAGTGCCTCCTTGCAAGCTTCCATGTGAGCATCAGCTACTCCGTCCAGTTGCCCGCTTTTCGCCGCCATCCAAATTCTAGTCGATGACCGAAGCCAACAACCATACGCCGCGGTTTGACGGTCCGCTCGGAACGCCGCATCAAAACAGCAGATATAATCCGCCTCATCTCCCTCTACTGTCGGCGTACAGCTACCTGTCCCTCCCCTTCGCTCCATCGCCACCCTCCAGTCCTTCCTATAGCACTGCACCAACATAGCTAATGTGGTCGGTGTTTGTACAGTGGCTTCAAAAGTGGCAGCATTCCGCACTGTCCACATCATATACAACCCCATCGCCACTACCTCTGGCATGTCAGTCCCTCGTAAGTTCAAGGAATGTTGCAGCCACTCACCCCAACTCATAGCACGTACTGGAATCACCACCTGGAGTTCATGCCACACCTTTTTTGCATATAGACAGTCAACAAATAAATGATATGTATTTTCCTCACCTTGCCTACAAATCCCACATTCCGCATCCACATCCACTCTCCTTTGGCGTAAATTGTCAATTGTCGGAAGAACCTCCCTAGCCGCCCTCCACACAAGTGTACGGCAATTAGGTGGCACATTTAACCGCCAAATTCTGTTCCATTGGGTAAAGGGCGTGTTTACCACCTGTAGTTCTCCCATCAAAGTGTGATACCCCAATTTCACCGTATAATTGCCTCTTAAGTCCCCATGCCAAAACCACCTGTCTTTAATATGAAGATTAACTGGCGTACGGACAATAGCATCAGCCTCCTGATCGTTAAATAATTCCCGTATTAGGTTCATGTTCCATTCACTAGAGTTAGGTATAAGAAGATTGTGTACCATAAGATCTCGTAACTCCTGCGGTTGAGGTGATTGAATTTTGCGGTTCACTGGTCCTGCAATCCAGCTATGCTCCCACACATTCGTGTTTCTGCCATTACCCACTCTACGTCTAGCCCCGGACATCAATAACTCCTTAGCCTCCAAGATGCTTCTCCAACAATAGCTGGGATTACTTCCAATCGAAGCTTCCAGGAATGAGCTACGAGGGAAATAACGAGCCTGAAAAATACGGGCTACCAGAGAATTCGGGTTAGTGAGAAACCGCCATCCCTGTTTAGCCAGGAGCGCCAGATTAAAAGCATGCAAACGTCTGAACCCGAGGCCCCCAACTTTCTTCGGCACACTTAGTCTGTCCCATGCCAACCAATGGATACCCTGCCCTCGCCCACTTTCCCACCAGAAGCGATTCATTCTCCTTTCCAACTCTAAACAAAAAGTTTTCGGGAGTAAGAACACACTCATGGCATACAACGGCATGGCCTGCGCCACCATTTTTAAAATAATCTCTTTGACCCGGATCCACTTTGACCCGACTCAAATTAGAAGTGGACCTCACTGATAATTGTACCACAAAATAGCTACTTAAAATGTCATTTTATGCCAATTTATGCTATTTTTTTCAACAAGTATAATTGACATCCCTAGGTTCATGAAGTGATTGAACAGTATCTTCTATAGCTTCCTAATTAAACATGATCATCAAGTGATGTATTTGACAACAGTGCATCAGATTGTTGCCCATAAGGCATAATGCAACATGTCGAAAATACACCAGAATGAAATGCCAAAAAATACACCACACAAAAAAAAAAAAAAAAATACACCACACATAATGCCAATTGAGAAAATATATATATATATATATATATATATATATATATATATATATATATATATATATATATATATATATATATATATATATATATATATATATATATATATATATATATAGGGTCAGGTTCCTGTGAGGTCAGGTTTTTCCGTGCGGTAAGTGCGGTAAGTGCCACACATTTTGCAGCGTTTGCAATTGGCATTTTGAGAAAAGAAAAGTATTTTCTCAAAACACCCTTGACATTATATATATATATATATATATATATATATATATATATATATATATATATATATATATATATATATATATATATATATATATATATATATATATATATATATATATTTATTTATTTATTTATTTATTTATTTATTTATTTATTTATTGATAGATAAAAATTATATTTAATTAAATATATACATTTATATAATACATTATATTTATTAAATAAATATAAATATTACATAATGTGCAAAGGGTATTTTTGGTATTTGAAATTTAAAAGCTATTCCCAAGGGCATGTGAATAACTAATACCAAGGCCCCCTAAGAATGGCTATTCCCCTTGCGAAGGTAATAACTCATTTCTACTAGGAATGTTATTGCCATGACAAAATGATCCAATCAAACGATGGAATAGGTCTATTCCAAGGAATGTTATTCCATTCCTGATTTATTCCATGAACCAAACATGCCATTAGAGAACTGGAAAGAAAAGTAAACAAATAAGTATATGTCAAGTGTGTATTTTATGTTATTTTAGCAAGGAAAAAACATCTTAGGAAGTTTTTATTTATTTATTTATTTTTAAATTTTTTATAGAATATTCAAGCAGTGTTGCAAAAATTTTGCCTAGGCCTCATAGGCGCCGACTAGGCATCATTCTAAGTACCGACTTGGCCGCTTAGGCACCAACTAGCTTAGGTCGCCTAGTCGGGCGATTAGCTATTATTCCTTTCTTTTTTAAATGAGTTATTTAATTAAAAACGTGTTTTGAGAGAAATAACCCAAAATTGTTCAAACCCTAGATATTTTTTTTAGGTTAATATTTAATATTTTAGTATTAATTATTAGAGTATTAAATAGTTTATAATTATCAAGTTTTAAAAAATTTTAAAAATTTAAATAAATTTTAAAAAATTAAAAATTAAATAAAAAATACACAGGCGCCTAGGTGCCGATTAATCGCTGCATAGGCACCCCCGAGCGTCCGAGGAGCGACTAGCGATTTTTTCAACCATGTATTCAAGTCATTATAAGTATTGTTAAAATATTTTATATAATCAAATTAATCTCATCATATATCTATTATAATGCAACCCAAACTGCTGAAGATCCATTAAGAGTATCAGTTGGGTCAATCACAAGGTCTAAGTCCAAACAATTAACACAACTCTTCATTGGTTATGTTCAAAAATGGTGGAAATCTAATTCAAGCCCAATTGCAAATGATGAAGACGAACTTAAGGCTTTTATAATCTTTTAAGTGCTGATTTTGGTGATTAAATTAGGCCCAAATCAACCCTATTATTTTTTGTCATCATTAATTTAAAATGTTTGGCATAAAAGAGAAAACACTAGTTTGTATTTAGAAAAGATTCCTTAAATCCCTTTCTAAATAGGACTATATTTACTTGCTTTCTAGATTAGGTTTAGGACTCTTTTTCCCATTGTATTTAGGATTATAATGCTGCCCCTATACCTATAAATAGGGCATAGCCATATCAGTTTCGAGCAGGCTTTCATTCAATAAAATTCTTAAGTTTTTCTTTACACTTGTGTAAGAAACCTTATGGCTAATTGTGGACTCAATTAGTGGATAGTTCGTGGACTCGTCAAGCAAATTAATTCGTGGACTCGAATCAACCTTCCTTTCTTCAACCTTTGATTTAGGTGTGTGGACCCGTTCTTGAATCGAAGGAAACTAGATCCGACTCTAGTTGATTGAATATTTCATCATCGAGGTACTTGAAGCTACATGGGATTCTTCAAAGTCTTTGAGGATTCAGGACTAAGTGTTTCTCGTGAGGCTTAAGGTATTTTGATCCATCTCTATCTTTACATTGAGAGCAATCTTGGGACAATACTCCATCTTATTTGAATCTTGGACTAGGTTCATATCAATTTGGTATTTAGAGCCTAGGTTTATCTCATTATCATTACAATTTTGGTTCCTTAGGTCATATATCATAACCATTGCAAATTTGTTTCCTTTGCTTATTAAAAAAAAAAAAAAACATATCATTCTTATCTTAATGATTTTTTTTTTCATGTCTTATACATCAAAAAAAGAAATTTGCTTTCTTGAATCTTGATACATGTTCTTTAATTTCTTAAGAAACAATCCCGAAAGAGTTTTCCCTTTTTCCCATCCAATATCAACCCGATACCCCACACCTCCTAAGAACCATATTAACAAAAATTCAGTCAAGAAAACAACCCCATCTCACCATTACTTATATCCAAAGTGCATTTATGCGCAATCACGTGGCATTCATACCCTGTCCAAATTTTCGCGTCATGTGACCAGTTTCAAAGAATGACCTATATCTCAAGATCCACTGGTCCAATTTATATGAAATTTTTATATGTTGTAGATCTCTTCTGGGGCGTTCGTTTGATATATTATACACTTGCTAATTCCTTCTGTTCATTGAGATATTGATCTTCAAAGTCAGGGCAGCATTTCTGTTTTTTGGGTGATTCTTGAAAGAGTGAATTCCATTTTTGGTCCTACTGTTATAGGGGCGTTTCCAATTTTAGTCCACCTTAATTTTTTTTTCCACTTTATAACCACTATTATTGAATGTGTTCCACTTTTAGTCTCACCGTTAGTATTTCCATCAAGAGGTCGTGTAATCTAGGGGTATTTTGACATTTCTTCTCATCCAAGACTATGTTTGACTAAAGAAATGAGAACATTAAACCTAAAACCTAAGAAACCTCGCCGGCCCATGTTGGAACGAATGAAACGATGTAGCTTTGGCTTCCCATTCTCGTTGTTCGAAGAGCCATCTTCGAATATCGGGGAAGGAGGACGAAGCGCCTGGATTAAAAGAGAAGAGACAAACATAAAAAGATCAGAATACCCTTTGATTATACGGCCTCTTGACGGAAATATTAACAGTGGACTAAAAGTTGAACATATTCAATAACAGTGGTTGTAAAGTGGCAAAAAAAATTAAAGTGGACTGAAATTGGAAACGCCCATATAACAATAGGACCAAAAATGGAATTCACTCTTCTTGAAATTCTTGATTCTGTTTTGAAGTGCTTGTGTGGAACCACTTGGTCCGAAATTTTTGGTGATATTTAAAGTAATTATTTGGAGGTTACTTATCAAAAAAATCAAAAAAAAAAATCAAGAAAATTGAAAAAAAAAAAAAAAGCAATAAAGAAGAAGAATAAGGTTGGCGAAAGAATAAGGTTGGTAGGAGAATCTTGGAGGGAAAAGGAAGGGGAAAAGTATAAGGTTGGAAGGAGTTCTTGATATATTCCTACTTGGTTGTGGTACACTTGGAACCCCCCCCCCCCCCCCCCCCCCGCTTGTATTGTCCTTTTTCTTTGCTTCTTGCTCTCAATTTTATTACCTACCTCGCGATACACCCTTACTCTCAAAGGCTTGCGAAGTCTTCCAAGGTACGTTTTCTTGAACTTTGAGGTTGAATCCATATCAACCTGAGTTTCGGACTAGAACTTTTCCTTTTTGAAAAAAGGCTTGTGAGAGTATCTGCCACTTGGAGTGATACACGAGTGGAGTGTTTGTTTGTAAGAGTGTGTAGTGTACCCCCAGAGCCATATAATCCACCTCTTACCCGCGAGCTGAGAATAGTGAGGGAGCGAGCCAACTTTTTGGTTTCACTAACGTGACTAATCACACATCTTCTTGTTTTTAGATTTGTTTTTCTCTACAGATGGTTGAACAAGTTCCAAAGCCACCCCAAACATTAGAAGAAAAAATAGATGCTCTAACCTTCGCCATAGACGGGTTACTCACAAGAATGACTAATCTGGAGCAACGGTCACAGCAAGTGCAACCACCACACAATGATTAGCGACACCTGCCACCAGCAGGGAGAGTGGATCTTAGATGTCAAAGGATCCAACAGCCTAATGAGGAATTAGGAAACATTAAACTTGAAATTCCTGACTTCTCTGGTGAGAAAGGACCTACTGAGTATAGAGAATGGGATAATGATGTTGAAACACTTTTTGATTTAAAGCACTATTCTGATCTTACAAAAATTAGGCTAGTTGCTACATCTTTTAAAGGGTATGCAGTATCTTGATGGAGAAAAAGAAATAGGGAGAGAATTGTTGATTTTATTCCCTATGAATCTTGGGTTTAAGTAAGGGAAGATATGCGCCTAACCTTTCACCCTAGATCTTTTTTCTATGATCTTGGAAAAAAAATTGTAGGGAACCGTTCAAGGATCCATGTCGGTTGATGACTATCACCGAACTATCAATATTTTGCTTGAGCAAGGAGACATACATGAAGAAGAAGCAAGAACTGTTGCTCGTTTCTTACATGGATTGAACAAAGAAATCCGGTGGGGAATGAGTACACAGAGATATGACACCCTTGATGATGCCTTGTATGCTGCACACGAATCTGAAGCAAAAATCAAAGAGATGAAGATGTACAAGCCCAACAATGGTGCATCAAGATGGAACAACACTCGTTCTACCCCTCAAAGGCGTGATGAATGCCCTCTTCCATGAGATGATTCACGAGATAAAGGTAAGGAAAAGGTAAGTGAGGCAGTGAGGCCTCAACGTGATAGAGAATTGATTTGTTATAGATGTAATGGAAGAGGCTATATGGTTCGTGATTGTCCTAACTAGAGGGTAGTTAAGATAACAAAACAATGTGAAAAATTTGCTTCTTGTCTTGAATATGAGTCTGAGGATGAAGTTAGTGACCATTTTGAAATCCCCAAAATGAGCACGTTGAGGAGGAACCACCTTTACATTTAGATTTTGATTCTGAATATGCTGATAGTGAGTCTATTCATACTCTTGTTGTTAAGAAGGTTTTGAATGTTCATCCTTTAAAAGAAGACGAGTCTCAAAGAGAAAATATCTTTTATGCTAAAGGGTCAATTAGAGGGAATGCGTGTACTATGATAATAGATTCTGGAAGTTGCACAAATGTGGCTAGTGCAGCTATGGTTAAATTTCTTCAATTACCTTTGCTTGATCACCCTAATCCATATCGTTTGCAATGTTTAACCGATGTAGAAGAAGTTAGAGTAAGAAAACGGGTTCTTATTCCTTTATCTATTAACAGTTATCCCAATGCAGGCTGCTCATGTGTTGTTAGGTAGATCGTGGCAATTTGATAGAAAAATCAATTTTGATGGAATGAAGAACACTTATGTGTTTCACATGGATGGAGTTAGATATGTCTTGTCTCCTTTGGCTCCTAAACAGGTGGAAGAAATACTATTGAAATCTAGGAAGGCATCAAAAGAGGCGAAATCAGTGACATCTTCCCCCTATCCAAAATCAAAGCCTCCACCTCCTCCAATATCCCTTTCCACGCCATTTTCATCTCAAAACACAGCAAAGGAATCACCACATCAGCCCTCTCTTCTTGCAACAAAAAATGACATAAAGAAGGCAATAAGAAAGGGAAACACGTTTCTGTTACTTTTCATTCATAAGCTTACCTCTGATCTTGATTCTTCTCTTGTGTTACACTCTGAATCTTGTTTTCGTAATGCCTCTATTGATGAATTGCTTGCTGATTTTTCAGATTTATTCCCTAAAGATATGCCAAAAGGATTGCCACCACATAGAGGGATTGACCATCAAATCGACTTTGTCATTGGATCTACCTTGCCAAACCGACCAGCCTACAAAACCAATCCCATGGAAGCAAAGGAAATCCAGAAATAGGTTGAAGAGCTTCTTGAAATTGGCCATATTCGAGAAAGCTTGAGTCTGTGTGCCGTCCCAGTGCTCATTGTCCCAAAAAAAAAAAAAAAAAAAACGGTACATGGAGAATGTGTGTTGATTGTCGTGCAATCAAAAATATAACTATTAAGTATAGATTTCCCATCCCTCGTCTTGATGATATGCTTGATGAACTTTATGGAGCTAAGTACTTTAGCAAAGTGGATTTGAAACGAGGATATCATCAAATCAGGATGAAAGAAGGTGATGAGTGGAAAGCAGCCTTTAAAACCAAACATGGTTTATATGAGTGGTTAGTCATGCCTTTTGGCTTAACTAATGCCCCTAGCACATTCATGAGGCTTATGAACCATGTTTTGATAAAATTTATTGGTAATTTTGTTGTTGCTTACTTTGATGATATTCTGATTTATAGCAAGTCACAAGAAAAACACTTGAAACATATTCAATTAGTTTTTCTTGAACTTAGGGCTGCATAGTTATATGCCAATCTTGAGAAATGTTCTTTTATGTCTGGGAGTGTTGAGTTTTCAAATTAGATTTCAAGTCATTATAAGTATTGTTAAAATATTTTATATAATCAAATTAATCTCATCATATATCTATTATAATGCAACCCAAACTGCTGAAGATCCATTAAGAGTACCAGTTGGGTCAATCACAAGGTCTAAGTCCAAACAATTAACACAACTCTTCATTGGTTATGTTCAAAAATGGTGGAAATCTAATTCAAGCCCAATTGCAAATGATGGAGAAGAACTCAAGGCTTTTTATAATCTTTTAAGTGCTGATTTTGGGGATTAAATTAGGCACAAATCAGCCCTATTATTTTTTGTCATCATTAATCAAAATTGTTTGGCATAAAAGAGAAAACACTAGTTTGTATTTAGAAATGATTCCTTAAATCCCTTTCTAAATAGGACTATATTTACTTGTTTTCTAGATTAGGTTTATGACTCTTTTTCACATTGTATTTAGGATTATAATGCTGCCCCTATACCTATAAATAGGGCACAACCATATCAGTTTTGAGCAGGCTTTCATTCAATAAAATTCTTAAGTTTTTCTTTACACTTGTGTAAGAAACCTTATGGCCGGCTAATTGTGGACTCAATTAGTGGCTAGTTCGTGGACTCGTCTAGCAAATTGATTCGTGGACTTGAATCAATCTTCCTTTCTTCAACCTTAGATTTAGGTTCGTGGACTCGTTCTTGAATCGAAGGAAACTAGATCCGACTAGTTGATTGAAGATTGCATCATCGAGGTACTTGAAGCCCCATGGGATTCTTCAAAGTCTTTGAGGATTCGGGACTAAGTGTTTCCCGTGAGGTTTAAGGTATTTTAATCCATCTCTATTTTTACATTGAGAGCAATCTTGGGACAATACTCCATCTTATTTGAATCTTGGACTAGGTTCATATCATATTATAAATAGAGTTGTCAGGCCCTCGACAGTTCCAAGATATCAAACTCATTGGGATAGGCGGCCTTGTGAAGCAACACCCACTCTAGCAAGTTTTTTGGGCCAAAACAATTTTCCTCATCAAGGTTAATATACTTTTCTTGGACTCCAACAAGCCCTGCTTTAACTTTCGCAATCGTTATGCTATGGACCCGTGTCCAACATACATTGTGGACATGGTAACGGTGCCGTTAGTGGCACCGTTATCTTTCACCATTTTTTTTTATAATTTCAGACCGCTTTGTTATAGGAGCATATGTTCATAATTTTATCACTATATGTTCATAATTGTAAGTTCATAATGTCAGAGCTCTGTGTTCATAATTCCATAACTGTACATTCATACTTACATAACTGTACATTCATAATTCCGTAACTGTACATTCATAATTCAATAACTGTAAATTCATAATTTTCGAAGCTCTATATTCTCAATTTTAGAGCTCTATGTCCATAATTTTATCACTATATGTTCATAATTGTAAGTTCATAATGTCAGAGCTCTATGTTCATAATTCCATAACTGTACATTCATAATTCCATAACTGTACATTCATAATTTTCAGAGCTCTATGTTCACAATTTTAGAGCTCTATGTTCATAATTTTATCAATATATGTTCATAATTGTAAGTTCATAATGTCAGAGCTCTGTCTTCATAATTCCATAACTGTACATTCATAATTCCACAAAAGAATAACGCCGTTAACGGCGAGACAAAATCAATTTTTTAAACTGGAATGCCGTCATTTTCTCTGAAAACGACGTCGTTTTGGACTCGTGTCCATAATGCATTGTGAACACGAGTCCACAGCATAATTTGCCCAACTTTCCTCTTTTTCTTGTGGTCGTGATTCGGAGCATTAATACTATTAGGCTTGGGCCCCATGGCGTCCTGATCAGTCGTTATATCGTGCATCAGCTACCCAAAACGATGTCATTTTGGTGCATTGTCCAAAAAAAAAAAATCTCTGTTTCAAATACACAATAAACTCATAACAGAATATACAGAAATTGCACTGAATACACAGAAATTCTTAACTGAATACACATAAACTCTTAACTAAATACACAGAAACTCACAACACAATATACAAAAAATTTTAACTAAATATACATAATGGGGTTTGGGCCGTTTGAACGGACGAAGTGACGTCAGCAATTTAAATGCATGCGTTTTGTGCCTGAGCACATATTACTATGTGCGCCGTGGTGCACGATATAAATTGCCCGTCCTGATGGATATTTTGATTTAGAGAGGCCAATATGTAGTTCTGATGGTACAAAGCCTGAGTAGTAAAGGAATCGGCTTGTTAACCGTTATTTAAAAATATATCTTCCTTCATTAAATGATCATGATCTTCTGCAGCTCTCATCTGACTTGTTGTCTTGTTCCCTCTCATCTGATTTTTTTATTTTTTTTTTTTTGGAAAAAAAAAAAGTAGTTATATAACAAAGGACTCTCTCTCTCATTCTTTGGGATCGGACTAACTATTTATAATCTGATGCGATATTACTAGAAATAGTTTTATATGAAATATTTTAAACATTTGATGCTCACATGAAACCACATGGGATCATACCGCGTATATGATGAACGGCTAAAAAGCAAGAATGGTGCATACCATTATCTTTTATGAAATATTTTATATGTTATATGGTTTAAGATAACGTGTATGAAATAAAATACTAATAATAATCCTTCTGTCTCCCTTCCGCTGCAATTTGAATTATTGGTGATGAAAATGGTTGTCAGCATTAGGCTTTGTTTATCCCTCTCTCGTGGATGGTCTTAGCAGTTGCCATGCCGCAATCAATTGAAAAAAGCTACACTCATTCAAGCTTATTAGCCAATTTTTTAAATGCATCAATATCAGTGCGGATTGTATTATATATGCAATTATTGAGAGTGCATGCAATTATCATTGGAAAAAATCAATTGCTCGATCAATCATTCTAGAAAAATGTGAAAATAATAGTTAATGATTGTTTTGCGTAGTGCTAATATTATTTTTTTTAGACAATAAGTTGTCCTGAGCAAGTCTAACTATAGGAGGTACATTTAAGCCTGTACTATGTTCAAACTAATTTCGCGGTTCGCACCGCCAACTCAATTAAGAGTCAAAGTGCTGGTCATATTGATTTTTTTCAGGAAAATTATTCTATGGACTCCGGTCTACCGTGTAAGGTGGACCTGAGTTCAGAATACACAATTTATATATTGAATGTTCACAATTTTTATATACTAAATGTTCATGATTTACATAATGAATGTTCACAATTTTATATACTGAATATTCACAATTTATATACCAAAACATTCAGTATGTAAAGTGTGAACATTCAATATATAAATTGTGTATTTTAATCCGGACTCATTTTGCAAGGTGAACCTGGGTCCATGGTATAATTATCTGTTTTTTCTATATAAGAGGGGGTTTTGAAGGACAAATCAAAGAAATGTGCTAAGTTGAACCTGCAACTTTGTTTATAGATCAGAGCAAAATATGGATCCAGTAGTCTTGGTAGGAGCTTGCATAATCTTGGCTTCCATTTTAATTCTATTTGCTACAGGTTTGAAGAAAAGATCCCGGAATCTGCCTCCGGGCAGCTACGGATGGCCGGTGGTGGGGGAGTCACTGGAGTTCCTGAGGAGAAACCAGGAAGGGAAGCCGGAGAAGTTTGTGACGGACAGGATGAGCAAGTACAAGTCGGAGGTGTTCAAGACTTCCCTGATGGGGGAGCCAGTGGTGGTGCTAAGCGGCCCCGCCGGAAACAAGTTTCTCTACAGCAATGAGAACAAGCTGGTGAACACGTGGTGGCCAATCTCCGTGCAGAAGCTGCTGGGGACTTGTTTATCAACCAGTGTCGGAGATGAAGCGAAGCAGATGAGGAAGCTGATGGCCTACTTTGTCAGCCCGGATGCCATGGAGAAGCTCTACATCAAAACCATGGATTTCGTCACTCAACAACATATTCAGCATCACTGGCAGGGAAAAGAGGAGATGAAGGTCTCACCTGCTGTGAAGCTCTACACTTTTGAACTAGCTTGTCGGTTTTTCATGAGCGTTGAGGATCCGGAGCATATCAAGAAGCTTTCTAGCCTGTTCAACGTTTTCCTCAGGGGAGTCATATCGCTGCCTGTGAACATTCCCGGGACCAAATTTTACCGTGCAATGAGAGCTACTGCTGTGATCAGGGAAGAGCTTCTAAGGATTGTCAGACACAGAAGAGAAGCCCTGATGAAGAACAACAACAATAATAATAATAGGCATGATCTTCTGTCACATCTGCTTGTCACACCCGACGAGAATGGGAGTTTCATGTCTGAGCTCCATATCGTGAACAATATAATCCTGCTGCTCTTTGCTGGCCACGACACTTCCACCGTCACTATTACTCTGTTGATCAAGAAACTCGGGGACCTGCCTCATGTTTATGAAAAGGTCCTGCAAGGTATGTATAGTATATCTAGTAGCGAATGCATAACTTTTTTTTTAATAGACCACCATCACATTTT